AGAATGACAATGACCCAAAAACATGAGAAGCGGCGAAAAAAATGAGAGAGAAAAAGAAACCACAAACTTGACAATTTTACAGAGATTTTGTGAATAGTCCAGCCAATCGGGGTAAAGCCAAGCGTGCTGGTAGTTCCCCTTCCACTGAAGAGGATTTTTGAGGACAGAAGCCGGTGGGAACAGTGCTGGGAGCTGGAAGTGACATGTCTTGCAAGTAGCAACAGCTACAGCCTCTGGCAATCCTCAGGACTTGCAAAAATGGGCTTTAAATGGGTACCATAAGTCATCAGTGGGGCTCAGTGTCATGGAAGCTGACGGAAGCCAAGCACTTACAGATTTATTGTTTAAAGGAATGAGTTGAACACAGATAACAAACAACAAGATTATGTGGAGCTATAAGAAAGAACTCCTTTCAAGCTCTTCCACAAGTGCTATTAAGACATTCAGGACATTTATTTTCCAGGTATGAAGAAAACCTCAAGTAAGAGGGAAGCTGACCTACAGGGAGATTATATCCATGAGTATGGCCTGCTGGCAAGGATCTTGAAACTTCCTCTGAAGGTGCTGGCACTGGCTTCAGCCCTTGACAACAGCCTGCCTGGGGCAGCACTATAGACACTCCAGAGCTGTGCCTTCCCCGAGGGGCCTGCTGCAGGTCCCATCTCTTTCCTATGCCAAAAGCAGTGTCCCAGACTTTTGGGAAGCCCAGTCTGGACACTGGACATACAGGGATCCTGCAATTTACAGAAGGCATCATGGCTAAGTTTAGCTTCCCATAAAACATCTCTATAAAGAGATATAATCAGAGGCTGATTAATGAATGTGGTTTACCACAAAATGATACTACACAGGCCTACTCTTTTCAATAATAATCCCATAAATAATATTATTAAAAACCCAGGAAATATTCAAACTGCACTGAAGCTGCGTTTTGATCCCAGTGCCTTGCCTCTTGTCTTCCCCTTTGTGGTAAATCAACACAAATATAACTCTTTAAGGGAGCTGCTGGCTGCAGACAGGAGCAAAGGGAGAGGGAAGCACCTACACTGCACAGAGCCGGGCCCGCGCTTCTAGCCTCAGAAAAACGTGCCGGGTGACTCGATTCAAAAACACTCGGATGCTCCCAACCGGGGAAAACCCCCTTTGGCTGTCGGGGGGCATCCAGGGTCGGTAGGGCCGGGGTCCGCAGCAGCCCCCGGCTCCTGGCAGGACAGAGGAGGAAATCTAGAGGCAGGAGGGCCCCGCAGGGCAGCCCGGCGGGGGGCTGGGGGCAGGGCCGGCAGACCCCCGCAGCCGCCCGCTGCTCC